CGAGCAACACACAGAAGTAAACAAAGGTGTGTGTTTGTAGAGTAATTTACAACAGCTTTGAACGCTGCTCAGCCAATCAGAATCAAGGACCGGAACTATCCGTTTTATAAACTGATGTTACTGATTCCCATGTTTAGATCATGGATAATCTATTACTAGCAAGAATCATTAATAGAGATACTAATTTACCTGTAATTGTTTTTAGATTTGCATTGATCTTAATCATGTTCTAGGGAAACTAGAACTGTGTCTTTTTGTCCACATGTGCCAGAAATCGTTTAATATTAACGTGTTTTCTCTTCTCCTCTCGCAGTACCTCTGATAGCAGTAAATTCAGTGTGTATCGTCTTATTATTACTGTTTGGATGAAGAAAGAATCGATGGGTTGCGGTGGATCAGGATCTGTTGTGGAACACAGGGAATGTGGCAAAGGAAAATGGACTGTTTTTGTATCTGTGGTTCTAAATGTTGCTCTCCAATGTCTGACCATTGTACCCGGAATGATTTACTGTAAGTACTCTGGTAGTTTTATACGAAACAAATACCAGTAAACATTTTTCTTTTCAAGTTTTGTAGCTTTACGGAAGCTCCTGCGTCTGTACATGCTGTTTTTGTCACATTCAAGGTCCAGTAAAGTGTCGATTAGAACAAGCAACAATGAAATCAGTCAGACATGTCTGACAAAGCCATACAGTTTGTTTCTGGCACCTGAATTTTTTTTTTTTTTAAAGTTTTTGTTAAGTTCCCCAAAACTAATCTTCCATTTCAAAGACGGCTTGGAAAGTAAAGGTTAGGTTTAATATATTTAAAGGCATATTGATAAAGTTTGAATTTTAATAAAGATGTGCTTACTGTACTGAATTGTAGTGTTATTATATAAAATACAACACGTTTGGTCTGAAAAGTTTGACCAAAGTAGCCTCTAGCCTTATGAGCCAGTCGCTCCACATTTCAGATGTTAAAGAAGTGATTGTGTCTTTCCATCTGTTAATGTATGTTGTGGATTTTGTGCCTTTTTTTTGTAATAAGTGCATTACATCTCTAATAATTTTGCCGCCTAAGATCAGTCAGCATTTATTAAATCAGATGGTTTAATGTTATTTGTTGAGGAGGTCGAGTGATTAGAAGCATATGGAGTCCATTAACAACACTAGATTAGTCCATTAGGATTAAACTACCTTTTTATTAACGTACCACAGATAAAACGCTGAATTACAACCATATGTTCAGAGCAGCGATTAAAGCCTGACCCTTTTATAATCTATGCTTAATAGTTATTACCAAAGATGATGTCTTTATATTTCTCCAATCCCAGGATTTATGTCATGGCAGAGAAAAATATTTTTGGCAGCAAAGTTATGCTCCTCATTATCCCAAAGAATGGGTATCTCTCTCTCTCTCTCTCTCTCTCTCTCTCTCTCTCTCTATATATATATACAGTATATATAATTGTGTTTTAACAGTTTTTTATCACTTATTTTTGTGCACTAATCACGAATAGTAAAACAACAACAAAAAATTCTAATATTGGTATAAGAGAGATATGAATTGATGTTCTCAATGCTTTTTAATCTGCTATTAAAATATCCAGCGTATGTTTTTTATTCATTGAGTGAATAATCTCTCATATACAACCCTCTTAAATGATTATAAACCGCCAGGGTGGAGAAAAGCCAGTGTGCTTTTAGACAAGTAAATAAATAAATCAATGAAATACATCTACACATAATATGTTAAAAGTTGATATAAAATACTAAACTGAATAGAAAACAACTTAATGCGTTCTCGACAGGCATTTCTCAGGACTGCTAAATGTAAGACTGCACCAGAGAAGGACCCTTGCAGGAAGTAAGTGTAGTTCATAGAAATGTGTACAATAACTTCTGTTGGTCAAATGTGTTTCATCCTTTTGTGTTAGTTATACCAGTACACGCATGGTTTGGAAACGAATATTAAGAGCATGATCCGTTTTTGTCATGTTATTAAAAACCTAAACGCAAATCTCACAGCACTGCCCTCACACACAATCCTCTATTTACATGATCGTTGTATTACTGAATGATTATTGAATGATTTGAGGCAATCTGCTTTACCTTATCCAAAGCTCTCGTTGTTTGGCAGCTCGTTTTAAATAAATGTAGGGTTTCCAAATCCTTAAAATGATGTCAAACACAGATGATGAGATGAAGTGTTGTTCTGAAGGCCAGTCATTGTGTTTAATTTAGAGTTCATGTGAATAAGAGCATTCATTTCACACTCGGAAACTGACAGTATGATACGCAAAATCCTAAATCGTCAGTCAGGTTTATCTGCATGGATTTATTTATTTATTTTTGTTGCCATTCAGCCTAGCCAAAAATTATGATTAAAGGGGTCCTATTATGCTCTTTTACAAAGTCTTGATTTTGTTTTGGGGCTGTACTAGAACAGGCTCTCATACTAGTGTGTTCGAAAAACACATTATTTTTCACGTATTTTACGTTATTACAACACCTCTCTCCCCAGTCTGGCATGAACGGCTCGAATAGTTCCTGTATCAAATGAAGGCCCGCCTTCTGAAATACGAAATGTGCTGTGATTGGTTAGCTGGGCCAGTGTGTGTTGTGATTGGTTAGCTGGGCCAGTGTGTGTTGTGATTGGTTAGCTGGGCCAGTGTGGGCTGTGATTGGTTAGCTGGGCCAGTGTGTGTTGTGATTGGTTAGCTGGGCCAGTGTGTCTTGTAATCCCTCGGTTTTGGACAAAAGAATCCTAGCTTTGAGTGATAAATCCCTCATGAGCCACATATCAAATTTCTTTTTAGTTTTCAACATAAGGGGTTGGAAATTAGATTGTAACTGATCTCTGCAAATATTGATACTAAGATAAGTTACTTCCTCTCTAATCGGAATACCTTCAAACTGGGTAAAAGGAATACAATTATCTTTAAGTGGGAAAAGGGTACATTTTTTAATGTTTAAAAATAAACCTGACACTTCAGAAAATATATTAAGGCACTCTATAGTTTTCCTAACTTGTGATATATCTTTCAAAAAGATAGCTGTATCATCAGCAAGCTGACAGCGTTTAATTTCTCTGTCCCTAATTCTGATGCCTTGAAAAGAATCATTATGCAAATGTCAAGCCATCGTTTGCATAACTAAAAGAAATAAAAAGGGAGCCGCCGGGTCTCCCTGTTTTATGCCTCGAGAAATACTAAATCGATGAGTTGTTCCCCATGGGAGTTTAACTGAACTATTACAGTCATTGTATAAAGTTTGTATCGCCCTTTTAACGTATTGCCCAAAACCAAAAAAATCTAGTAAATCAAATAAAAAATTATGTTTTACAGTATCAAAGGCTTTATATCTATAAATAAAATGTAACTGTTATCAGTTATGTAATCCTTATAATCAATTCAATCTTAGATTAATCTAATATTATTGCTAATATGTCGTCCTTGCATAAAGCCTGACTGACTATTATCTATGATTGTATCTAAACATAACTTTATTCTTTGTGCAAAAATGTGAGCCAACAGTTTTGCATCATTATTAATTAATGTTATAGGCCTCCAGTTGTTAAGAGGCAAACAGTCCTTATTGGGTTTAGGTAACAATGTAATTAGGCCTCGACACATAGATAGGGGGAGCTTACAGGCTTTATAGCTTCCTTAAAAACCAATAACAAAAATTCAGAAATATAATCTTGGAATACTTTATAAAATTCACCTGTTAAGCCGTCATTCCCTGGGGATTTATTATCTTTTAACTTACTAATGTTCTTTTTTAATTCTTCTAAGGATATATCTTGTTCACAAACTTCTTTCTGTGTTTCGTCATTACCATTTTATTATATGAGAAAGTAAATTTGATCTATGGCTACTTTGTTCAGAATATAGTTTTTATAGAATTCTTCCACAAAATCAGAAATTGTTTTAGGATCTTCGGATATCTGCTCATTAATTTGAAGTTTACATGTATTATTAACACTTACATTTCTTTTTTCTAAATTATGAAAATATTTGGTATTCCTTTCACCATGTTCTATCCATTTCCGTCTAGAACGAATGAAGGCTCCCCGTGCCAAATTTTGATAGATATTATCCAATTCAGATTGTGATTCAATTAACATATTAATATCAGATTGCGTTTGCTCGTCCTTTTCATAAATAAAAATTATTTCCTTAAGTATTCTGTCTTGTCTCATTCTTTTTTCCGTAGATAATTATTTTCCCCTTTTTGATGACCATATTACGGATTTGAAATTTTGTATAGTCCCAATGTTTGCCATATATTTTATATTTTTTGGCTTTTGACAAATTTTCATTTATCATTTTTATGGCTTTTTCTTTGAATAATTTATCATTCAAAAGTGTATTATTTAATTTCCAATAATTTTGTTTAAATTTAATTGATCTATTCCTTATGCATATTACTAAAGTGATCATATTATGATCAGAAAAAACCGAGGGTTCTATTTTTGTTTCTTCCACACTATCTAATAAATCATTTGAAATAAGCCAAAAATCAATCCTGGATCTCTTAGATAAATCTTTGTTGTTCCAAGTGAACTGGATTTGATGTGGATTTTTTTAGTCTCCACACATTACAACAGTTTAAGTGCAAACAGAGATTATTAAATTCTCCCTAAGTGCCTCTTAAAGGGATAGTTCACCCAAAAATGAAAATGTGATGTTTATCTGCTTACCCCCAGGGCATCCAAGATGTAGGTGACTTTGTTTCTTCAGTAGAACACAAACGAAGATTTTTAACTCAAACCGTTGCAGTCTGTCAGTCTTATAATGGAGGTGGATGGGAATCACGGCTTTGAGAGTAAAAAAACAGGTATTTTGAGCAGTAGGATTATTAAAAATATGTGCTAATATAAATTTAAATTAAGTAGCCTATATAAAATTGCAAAATAATTTGGCTGTTATTAAGACCATATATATTACCTAAAATAAAAATATCCTCCATAAATTCAACAACTAAAATGATCCATCTTCCTGAGTCATGAACTACATTTTTTTTTAGGATTTTCCCCTGAAAGGAGCCCTTTAATATAGCAACACCCGCTGATTTACTGTTTCCATAAGACATCCATATATTGTCTCCCCACTGATTTTTCCAGAAATTAAAATCTGAGGCTAAAGCATGTGTTTCTTGTAAAAAATAAAAATCTGCCTTGAAAGATTTACAAAACAAAAATACAGCTTTGCTCTTAATCTGTTCTCGTATACCCCTCACATTAAGTGAATACAAGGAAAAAGACAAAGTGCAAAGTAGAACAAGAAGTTAACACCCCTTACCATAGCCACCTGCAAGCTTCAGTGTAAATATTGCGTCAAAATTGCACGATTTAACCCCGGATGATTGTAACCACTCTAAGTTCGTCTGCCTTGGGAAAGCTAGCGTGTCTCCGACATAGTGATAACACTCGTTGCCTTCTCTAGTGCAGCTCAACCAGGTCTCGTCCCATTCGTCGATATTTGTGATATCACAAATCCCGGAAAATATGCGTTGTAGTCCAAACGAGTCGTTCGTTGTAGTTTTTGAAAAGTGATTTCTGTTAAATAAAATATCTCCTTTTGAAGTGGACTTTGAGCTTTGTAACTTTGCAGATGTTTTTTATACTCAAACAGCAACATTACAGAATAACTAAAGTTGAAAAAGTGAAAAAGCATAATAGGACCCCTTTAAAACTATTCAACATTTGCTTAAAATAAATAAATAAATAAATAAAACCCTGAGTGAAGTGTATGTGAACGCTTTACGCTTCAATATCATTCCATGTTTCAGTGATGGCATCTCGCCGCGCTCTGAAAGCGGTTCTCATTGATCTGAGTGGGACTCTTCATATCGAGGATGCTGCAGTTCCTGGGGCGCAAGAGGCTTTAGCCCGGTCAGTTGGTTGAAATTATTGGCCGTTTGTGATCACTGGATAAGGATTTTTAAAATAGATGTGTTCACAAAGAGACATTTCTGTCCGATGAAAATATTTTGGAGGTAAAAAATAAAATAATCCCATATTAGGGCTAAGTACCCTTGTGAAAAAGAAGTGCGCTTAATTGTATTGAAAGTGTACTTTTTGTGTACTTCAAATCTAAAAAGTATACTTTTTAAAAAGAGCACTTGCAGATAATATAATTATAATTAAAGGCCACTTAAGTGTACTTAAAGTACATTTTAATGACTGTATTTCTGAACTCACGGAAGTGCACTTTAAAATAGATGCGTTCACAAAGAGACATTTTTGTCCGATGAAATATTTTAGAGGTAAAAAAAAAATAAAAAAAATACAAGCCCATATTAGGGCTAAGTATTGCCAGATTTCACGAATCGATTTGATTCTTTTGTTTCGGTTTGACTCTTTTAGATATATATCGGGTACAGTACATGACAATTTTTCTTAAGGAAAACAATCTCTTAACTAATGCTGCAAATTATACAGTGAAACCTAGTCAGTCACTGTAATGCTAGAAGTTATAGGTAGGGTAGGTGATTTCAGAGAGGCTAGCAATAGCAATTGGCTTTGAAAGCATAAGATCCCACCCTCCCTGCAAATCAATCTCCAAAGCCATGCCTCCTCCAAATCAATCAATTAACGGAATTACGTAAAAAAAGCCCTGATGTTACACACCCCCGGTACAGTAGGTGGGGTATGCACTTAGACAAGTTAGTTGCGATCCACCAGTAAACCCAGAGAGAGAGAGACCTGTGCGAACAAAAATCGGATGTTGCACGTACAGTACACGCGTACTACTCTGGTGACGAAATTTGTGTCGCGCACTGTATGCAGACTCTCGCGTACGTGTACAAACCGAATTATACTTTGGGCTTAAGTTGTACTGTTTCTTTTAACATACCTTCTGATGTCATTCATGTTTATTTGGTGCTGTAACTAGTAATGAAGAGGGAGAGATGATCGGTTCACCAGTCATCTGCGCTGCCGTTTAAACTGAGGCTCTACAGCGATCTGTGACGCTACACTACAACAGCATCAAAACCGCATTTGAAAGTAGAGAAAGCTTTAAGTGAAATTATAGTGATATAATTTATAATTTAAATATAGAGATTTTTATTGTCATTTGTTATGTAGTTGAGATATTTCATGTGCAGTATTCCATAGAAACTAATGTCATTTGTCCAGATTAAGACAGGCTCCAGTCGCTGTAAAATTTGTGACCAACACCACAAAGGAATGTAAGAGGACCCTGTTTGAGCGATTGCGTCGGTTAAACTTTGACCTCCAGGAGCAGGAGATCTTCACATCGCTCACCGCGGCCCGTAATCTACTGGAGCAGAGAGCAGTGCGCCCCCTACTGCTGGTGGAGGATAGCGCTCTAGAGGACTTCACAGGTCAGATTCCTGTTAATTTATACAGTTTATCTGAGTGAGATCAAAATTTTCCATGTTTTTCATATAGAAAACATGAAGTTTATCATATTTGTCATATAATGGTGTACTTTTCTGTTGCAGGTTTGGAAACTTCGGATCCTAACGCAGTTGTGATTGGATTAGCACCTGACCACTTCAACTACCAGACACTCAATAAAGCCTTTCGGTAAAAAAACTTTGGAAGTTATCGATAAACCATAAAAATGACATCTAAATAGTTCAGTTCTCCCATTGAGTGGATGAAATGTTGCTGCTAATATCATCAGACTCATTTCATCAGACTCATTTTAGATGGTGCTCCCCTCATTGCCATCCATAAAGCACGGTACTATAAAAGGAAGGACGGGTTGGCTTTGGGACCGGGTCCGTTTGTGACGGGTCTTGAGTATGCGACTGACACCCAGGCCACAGTGGTGGGTAAACCAGAGAAAGCTTTCTTCCTGGAGGCCTTACGAGACCTGAACTGTTGACCGGAGGAGGCTGTGATGATAGGAGATGTGAGTATGAATATGCATAAGAAAATATTTGGGTGAATCTCACAGTCTGTCAAGGACATGGATTATATTTCAAAAGAAAAAAAAAATCAAATGCACGAAGAAAACATATATTTTAGGAGATTTATGTATGTATGCATGTATGTATGTATTTATTTATTTGAATTAAAAATAGTATAAATATTATTAAGGATCTATACATCACAAATTAATATTTTAAGTTTTGCTTTTACTAAGCCCGTCAATAACATTTCTAGGTCATATTTCACCTTAAAATACAGTAAAATAAAATAAAAACTATTTTGCACTAAGAAAATTATTTTAGGATATTTATTTATTTATTATTTATGACAATTAAGCATGACCCAGATGCATTACGACAATGATAATTTTTGTTGGGATCTTTTCTCAACCGTCATGAAATGAGTATCACAATGCAAAAATCGTAATTCTTTTTATGCAAAATATTATTTATTTATGGTTTGTTTGTTTTATTGTTTATTTATTGTTGAAATATTTAATAAAATGGTCATTCCTTTCAAATTCAAGATGGAATTTATGACTGAATTAGTTTGCTTTAAAATGTAAAATGCTAAGAAAAAAAACAAAAAAAAAACACTGATCACCGATGCTATTGCACAGGATGCCAGAGATGAAGATGGTGGGGCACATAATGCAGGAATGCTGGGAATTTTTGTGAAAACTGGTAGGCCTCATTCTTAATATGCAATTGTGTTTTCATAATATAGTTTTTTTTTTTTTTTTTTGCTGCATAATAGTAATCATCTTTCAAATTTTTTGCAGGTAAATACAGACCTGGTGATGAGGGTAAAATTAACCCGTCTCCTCACCTGACGTGTGACAGCTTTCCAGAGGCTGTCAATCATATACTTGAACATCTCTTAGGATCTAAATAACCGGACAACTGACAAAAAAGAAGAAAAAAAAAGTAATATTGGTACGGTGTAGTTTGATTATTGTTTGAATGTCCATTATAGCGTTGCTGCATTCCATATGCATTTATTTTGATGTACTTAATCTATGAATCAGTCAAGCTCATGAGAAATAAATAAAACAAAATCAAAAAGTGAACTATGAAAACAAACTATATTTTGAAATAGTTTTTAATATGCTCACCTTCAATTGATTGCAGTCTTATTTCCTTTAAAATGTTTTTATAGTGAGACTAATAACGAAGCACAGCATGGCATTATAAAAAGAGTAGGTAGTAGTGCGATAAAAACATTTGTTGGTTGCTGTAATAACAGTCCATGTATTATGCTGAGATCATGTGTCAGACAGACTCGTACTCTTTCTCCCAGGCTGAGTATCTCTCCATCAGACATCTGGCTGACGGTTTGGTGTGAGCAATCACCTCCAGGAAATCTGCTGTGGTCACAGTTTCTAGTTCAATAACTGGCATATTGGACTGACCTGTGAAGATGCATGGTGTAATGGAGACTGTGAATTTTGGGCAAAACAGGATTTCGTGATGAAACAGCAGTTTAATGTCGTTCCGAGCAGGACGTGGCATATTTCTTACCTTCAATGTGATTTTCAAGGGCGTCAAAGATTTTTCGCACAGGTCTCATAGCAGCCTCCTTACACACTAACCTGATATCTGACCCAGAGTAACCTCCTGTCTCCTGAAATATCAGGACGTGAACATATTGGTACAATTGTCTCAATAGTACAATCTGTCTATTAGGGCTGTCAAAATGGCTGAAAAACTAAATTCAAATTTTTTACTTAAATATCAAAATTCGAATTATATTCGAATTTAAAATGCATAATTTCAGTTTGGGTGAAGAAAAGCTTTTGGATTCTCTCCTGAGGCCACTAGAGGGCGCATCGAGCAAAATATTACTAATGCACGTTTCTTCAAAGCATACCTCGAATGCAATGTTTTTGCATTCGAATGTCGATTTTTATTTTAAATTCGACGAATATTCGAAATTCGAATTTTTTTGACAGCCCTACTGTCTGTCTGTCTATCTATCTATCTATCTATCTATCTATCTATCTATCTAGTGCAGGGGTCTCCAAATTCGGTCCTGGAGGGCCGGTGTCCTGCAGAGTTTAGCTCCAATTTGCCTCAACACACCTGCCTAGACGCTTCTAGCATGCCTAGGAAGACCTTAATTAGCTGGTTCAGGTTTAATTAGGGTTGGAGCTAAACTCTGCAGGACACCGTCCCTCCAGGACCGAATTTGGAGACCCCTGATCTAGTGGATGTACCTCAGTCACATGGTTTCTCTCACCTGTGCCAGAGCGATTCATAGTTCAGCTCCGTTCGCAGCTCCACCCCACCTGTGTTACTAACTGGAGGCAGCCAATGACTGATCATGGCTTGTCTGGCAGGGGCAGATGGGAGACCCACCAGTATCCGTTTCTCCAGTCTTCTCAGCATGGCATGGTCCAACTCCCTGAAGACAGATTAGAACGATTATAAAGAAAGCCATATAAGAGAAGAAAATGATATAGTTTCCTCACAATCACTCCTCACCAAGGTAAGTTTGAGGCAGCAAGCACAAACTCAAGATCGTTTGATCGTGAGAGTCCATCCATCTGAACAAGTAACTCTGTCTTCATCCTTCTACTGCCCTCATGATCACCTCTTAAAGAGATGTAAAAGAGCAAAACAGAAATTGTGTAATTTAATAGTTATGGATTGTGTACTGTTGTTTGATAGTATTACTGTCAGTGAAAGTTACTGGCTCATGCTCACCCTTGGCCAACCCCTCGCTGGCTCATCACTGATTCCAGATCATCCAAGAAAATGGTGGATGGGGCGTGATATCTTGCCAGCTCAAACAAAACCTGCAGAGAATCATAACATGAGGAAAATCAGTGTTCTGCTGAGCGCAACCGTTCCCCCACACATTTCATAAAGCAATAAAATAACACAAATCTGAGAAAATTATGCCCTCAAGTCTGACCCGAACCAGCTCCTCAGAGTCTCCCCTCCACTTGCTCACAATACTGGATGCGGAGATGTTGAAGAACGTTGTGTTGCACTCTGTGGCTACAGCTTTGGCCAGCATCGTCTTTCCTGTGCCTGATTTTTGGGGGGGGGCAGTCTTCACATTAAGATCATATTACACACAAAATGAGTTATATTTTATATTCAGGAATTGAATATTCACATATATTCATTTGTATTATACAAAGAGAAAACAGAAAGGTCAGACCTGGTGGTCCATACAGGAGTAAACCTTTCCATGGTGACAGAATTCCAGTGAACAGATGTGGATACTGAAAAGAGGATAGGTGGTTAGAACTAGATGGTTGCTATGGTGCTTTAGGTGGCTGTTGGGGTGTTACTAGGTTATCTGGGTGGTTGCTAGGTGGTACTTCTAAACAGTTGTTAAGTTGTTCTGGGTGATTACAAGAATGTTGCTATGCCATTTCTAAAATGTCCTAAATGTGACTAAGTATGTTGTTAGGTTTTCGCTGTTGTTCTCTGTGGTGGTTGCTAAGACACTTTAAGGTGGTTGTTAGATTCTTGATGGGTTGTTCTGGCAACCAACTGCCAGTTGGTTGCTATAATGTTTTGGGTGGTGGTCACTAGGGTGTTGCTAGGCAGCTGCTACAGTTTCTAAGTGGCTGTTAGTAAATTTCTAGGTGGTCACTATTTCGCTTTGCCATGGTTACTAGGATTTGTGTTGCTTGGGTATTCTGAATGGGTACTAGGGCATTAGAAGGCAGTTTCTAAGGTGTTCAAAATTGCTGAGTGTGTTATTAGGTTGTTGCTATGCTGCTCTATGTGTTTTTTTAGAGAGCTGATATTGAATTCTGGGTGCATTGCTAGGTGGTTGCTAAGCATGTGCTAGGGTGTTTTTGGATAGCTGTAACTTTGTTGCTAGGTTATTGCTGTGATGCTCTGGTTGTTACAGCATTGTTCTGAGTGGTTATTAATTATTTACTAGTGTGTTATGGGTGGTCGCTTGGGTATTTTGAGCGGCTGCTGGGTGCTTGCTATGGTGCTTTGCCATGGTTACGAGGTTGTCATTGTTAGGGATATTACTAGATTGTTCTGGGTGTTTGCTAAGCAGTTACTAGGTTCTTCTGGTGGTTATTAGGGCATTGCTAGGCATTTTCTAACATGTTCTGTAGTGTGTTGCTAGGTTGGCTGTTGCCATTGTGCTCTTTGTGGTTGCTGGAGAGCTGCATTGGTGTGGTTGGTTGTTGGAGCATTTATATGGTGTTCTGGGTTGTTTCTAGCTGGTTGAGTTCTGGGTGGCTGTTAGTGCATTGCTATGTGGTTGCTAAGTAAGTGCTAGTGGAAGTTTGTAAGGATGTTGTAATCTAGGTGGTTAGCATTGAAATGCTATTCCGAATTGTTGCTGGTTGGTTGCTATAATGTTCAGAGTAGTTACTAGAGCGTTGCTAGGTGGTTGAGTGGCACTAGTTACTAGGGTGTTCTGGGTGGTTACTAAGGCATTGCTAGGTGGTTTTAAAGGGGTCATATGATGCTGCTAAAAATAACATTATTTTGTGTATTTGGTGTAATTAAATGTGTTTATGCGGTTTATAGGTGGTTGTCAGGTTTGTTAGGCAAGTTGCTATAGGGCTTTGTCATGGTTGCTAGGATTGTTAGGTGGCTACTAGGGCATTGCTAGGTGGTTTCTAAGAATTTCTAAGTTGTTGTATGTCCGTTGCTAGGCTGGCTGTTGCTGTGGTGCTTTATGTGGTTGCTAGTGAGCTCCTAGGGTGTTCTGGGTGGTTTCTTGCTGGTTGCAGTGGAGTTGTGCATGCCTGACTGATAGTCCATTGCTAGATGGTAGCTAAACATGTGGTAGGGTGTTCTGGATGGTTACTAGGGCATTACAAGGAAGTTTCTATGGGTGTCGCAATCTGAATGCTTGTTAGAGCATTGATAGGGTGTTCTGGATAGTTGCTACAATGTTCTGGGTTACTAGGGTGTTGCTAGGCAGCTGTTAAGTTTTTCTGAGTGTCTGTAAGTGTGCTGTTATGCTATTGCTGTGGTGCTCTGATTGTTATGGCATTGATGAGGTGTTTTGGGTGGTTGCTAGTTGATTGCTATAATGTTCTGGTAGTTACTAGGGTGTTGCTAGGCAGCTGTTAAGGTTTTCTGAGTATCTGTAAGTGTGCCGTTTTGCTATTGCTGTGGTGCTCTGATTGTTATAGCATTGATGAGGTGTTTTGGGTGGTTGCTAGATGGTTGTTAAAATGTTCTGGGTGGTTACAAGGGTGTTGCTAGACTATTGCTGTGGTGCTCTGATTGTTATGGCATTGATGAGGTGTTTTGGGTGGTTGCTAGTTGATTGCTATAATGTTCTGGGTGGTTACTAGGGTGTTGCTAGGCAGCTGTTAAGGTTTTCTGAGTATCTGTAAGTGTGCCGTTTTGCTATTGCTGTGGTGCTCTGATTGTTATAGCATTGATGAGGTGTTTTGGGTGGTTGCTAGATGGTTGTTAAAATGTTCTGGGTGGTTACTAGGGTGTTGCTAGACTATTGCTGTGGTGCTCTGATTGTTATGGCATTGACAAGGTGTTCTGAGTGGTTATTAGTTTGCTACTGAGGTGTTATAATTGGTTGCTAGGGTATTTTGAGTGGAGATTTTGGATAACGTTTGTTAAATAACAGCATGCACACACCACTTTTCTGGAAGATGCCTTACCAGACACCACTAAAAACTGACCAAAATCAATAGTGTTTATTGACCTTACGTTAAGGTGAATAACAAAATCTAATATTTTCATCGACCAATTAACTGTCAGACTCCACTTCATCTAATACATGAAAAGGTTCAAGTATTGACAAAACTGAGCCTCAAAATGTCTTTCAGCATAATGTGAATCATGTTCTTCATACAATTCTTACTTTATGTGCTAGAAGCAGAAATAAGCCGTGCAAGCAGAATTTCCAGGTAATTCTGTACGACAACAAGCTCCTTCACCAC